TAAAATATAATAGTTCCATTCGGTATAGGTACTCAATCTGATAGTCGAGGACTTGTTCCAAGGACACCCAATACGTCAAAGAAAGCTGAAAGAACTTCTCGGTCACACTCCTTCCCAGGTCTTTGCTGGGGCTGTTCTCGGCATTCTTGTTGCTTGCATGTGTTGCCAAGTCTCCCTGTTTCCAGTCTGAAATTATTAAACTTCCATATTGCGAATGTGCAACAACTGTGTGTGATGCCATTAATCTTACAATCTATCGTTGTAGATTATCGCGCTGAGAAATGCACAAAAGCTTTTTTTGCACGATTGTCTTCGATGTCTTGAGTTCGGAAAGAGCCATTTTTCGGTGCCATTTTATGTGTTTGTGCAGTGCTCAGCGTCTTTCCTGTGCTGTTTATTTCCAAGTGTTCAGTCCAGACAATATGTTGAGGTTTGATGAAGGGTGTTATCCTGCAGTGTATATACATTTCGGTACATTTGAGTTTTGATCTTGTAGCCAATGTGAGAACATGCTGATGTTTCCCGAAGTTTTTTTTTTTTTTTTTGGGCTTCAGAATCTATATATATATATATATAAAGGTTTGATTATTTTTAAATTGTAATTATTTCCCGCCAAAAAAATGTTGTTTACTAATTCTGGAAACTATTTAAACATTTTATGTTACTAGTAAAGTGCACGTGCGATGCACGTGGTGTCGAATAATTTTCGCGGAGTAAGTTTGTAAAATAAATTAATTTATTTATTAAACATATCATTGCATAAATGAAATAAAATATAGAAAAAATGAACTCATATGTGATTTTTTTTTAATTTAGAATTAACATAATGATGTCCTCATATAAAAATAGTGAAATAACGTTTACAAACCCCAACAAAAATATATATAAAACAAATTCCTAATAGGAAAAACACAAACATTTTCTTTCATTTTAGTTTTAACGTTCTCATAAGAACATTCATAGTCGTTGGAGTCCAATACATCAATACTATTGCAAAATTCCTCTTAATTAATTTGGCAAAACGCCAA